GAGAGAGAGAGAGAGAGAGAGAGAGAGAGAGAGAGAGAGAGAGAGAGAGAGAGAGAGAGAGAGGATTCATATAATACTAGACCTTCACATGTAGAGTTTGTAGAGAGAGAGAGGATTCAATATTGGAATTTGTCAAGGCTGTCGAAATAGGGGTGGTCCAAGGCGTCCCTTGCCGAGATGCGTGTGGTGGGATTCACCTGAAGCATTTTCTGTCGAACAAAATATTAATAAATAAAAAGTTCCAAAAAAACATACAAGCTCTTTACATAAATAGAACTAATCATTATAGTGTGGTTTGTATAAAGTTGCAACATTAAACAATAAGGCGCATCTCCAAATTTGGTGTCAAATTTTTTTAAAAAAGGCTTGAGAATCTATTTTCATCTTAAAATCCAAAAATAATTCAAATCAAGTTGGTCTATGAACACTTGAAAATATTGAGAATGGACAGTCTAAATTTGCTGTCAAAAAATAAATACTTGAAAATATTAAGATGCATCTCTAAATTTGGTGTCAACATTTTTTTAAGATGGCTTAAAAATCTATTTTCATCTCTAATCATAGAATCTTAAAATACAAAAATAATTCAAATCAAGTAGATCTATAAACACTTGAAAATATTGAAAATGGACGGTCTAAATAATGTGTTGTAAGATACACTATTTTTAAGACTCAAAATCTATTTTCTTTTCTTATTCCTACATCTCAATATTGAGATGATCAACTAGATGGTTTTCCAATATTAAAAAAAAAAACTTTTTATGATGAATTTTTGAGGTGCGTCTTACTTCTATATTTTAAAATTACAATCTTATATAAATTTTTCTATTATTATATATTGTATTTCAAGCTTTCTAACTTGACATTTAGTGTATGCTTCCACAGCGGCCACGTGATTAATATATATGCTTGAACATTGATCATGTGAGGAAGGAACAAAAAACAAAAGTAGAATAGACAAAAGAAGAAGTAAATCGTTCTATGATTAGGTAGGAAATACACACCCAATTAGTGGGCCGGGACTCACCTCACCCTTCGCCGAGACTATGTGGAGTTGGTCTTTTGGCCGTAAAAATTAAAATAATAATAATTTGAAA